GGAGGGAGAGAGGGAGGGAGAGAGGGAGGGAGAGAGGGAGTGAGAGAGAGAGAGAGAGAGAGAGAGAAGAGAGGGCATAGAGGGACAGAGAGAAAGAGATAGTACAAGACCATGTACATCATACAGGATGTGTACATTGTAACACAAGCATGAGGTCAACACCTTTTGTTACAGCGAACATCTGGTGTCCTTGTCTCACCTGTTGTTTACCTCGGGACAATCATTCTGATCCTGTAGCCTAATAACTTTCAAATTTTATTCAAATCTATGACCGGTTTACACATCTGATGTATTGTGTCAAGGCAGTATATAGCTTATTATAATATTATTTCTTCGATCACGACATTTGTATAGGCAAAGGCAGAAAATCAGCCGATGCAAAAAGTCAAAATCCAAGAAATGTGTGAATAGTTTCGTTGATGATGCAGTCAATTGATTTTTCGTATTGTTCTTTGTTCTAGTTTTACATTGAACCCAAGGGAGAAAACTCATGACTCATAAACAAGACTGTTTATTGTCAGCTGATCATGACGCCCTTGTTTCCGTGTTATTTATAACAACGCACAACGTTTTAGCTCTTGAAATTCACTTTTAGTCAAACGTTTGTGTAGTTGGGCATTTCACCTTTGTTCTTTTCTTTGTTCTTCATGACCATGTAAGTACATCAAAATTATATCTTCTAGATCTTCATTTAGATATATAGAATCTAGAGTCTAGATCTTCTAGAATCTAGAATAAAGCCTTGTAATTTGTAAAGAATGAAATTCGGAAGCCAAGTTGCGGATGAACTGAATGAGAATGAATGTGAATGGGACAAAACAGTTTGGTCACAAAATCCTTATTAGATTCTATGCCTTCATATAAGTGTTGCTGTTATACATTTTCTTGAAGGTTACAGACTTAGAGTTTAAAATCAAAGTAAAGAACAGAGGATGGGTGAATTCTCTACAGTCTACAGGTTCAGCCAGTCAGGTCAGGAAAGATTGGTAGATCTAGAGATATCTAGAGTCTGTCGTCAGTGGGTGGCAGTGCAAACCAACAACAAACCTCTGCCTCTCGTACTTCTAGATCTAGGTCTAGATCTAGATCTAGATCTAGAATCTAGTACTTTTAATATATAATTCTCTAGACAGTCTAGAGTTGGAGTTTCAGTTCAGTCTGCTCCAGCTCTAATTATTGTCAGTGATTTATGATCCGAATGAAAGACAGTCTAACCAGAGAGTTTATTTACAGTTTAATACTAGAGACTAGAGAGACGGCACTTCGCCCGGATGCACGTATCTGGGTCACCAGTGGATCGTGGAGAAACGCGCGGTAAACAAAACAAACTGCGTCCATTGTTCAAGGCTTTTTCGTTGATTCAATAGACAAGCATGGCCTCGGTTAGTACGAAATGTCAATGGTGTTCTGCTATAAACTGCACCTATTAGAGTCAAAATCTGAGTTTCTTTCGATTTCCAAGGGATAACGAATATTATATTTTGATGAATTATAGAAAAAGGTATTTTTTTACTAATACACACCCGTCTCATGTACTCGTTTATATACTTTTATTCTAGTAGTATTTTGCATGCTGAACACGAATATAATGGCCTTCATTTTTGCCGCAAATCAATAGTTATTGAGTTATTGATGTTTGAAAATAGTAAATTTAACTATAAATGGGGGGTTTCATGGGGGCATGCCCCCCTGAATTTCACAATGATTTGATGTTAAACAATTAGGATTGATATTTACTTGAAAACAATTGATTTGCAAGGGTTTTAGTGGCCATGTGTGTGTGTTCTACAACAAAAATTGTGGCAGTTTATAATGCATGTGTGGGTGCAAAAGTAAAAATTTACCTAGAAAAATATAGATCAAAATAATGACAATGTGATTGTGGTCCTACAAGACTGACACTCCATGCACAAACTCAACACACTTCAACTTTTTATAATATCAGTTATAAATTGGGTTTTTTTCCCCATGTCTAAATACCCGAATTGAGCTTGCATTCTACTAGTGAAAGATATGTTACCTGGGTCTGCGAAAAGATGTCTAAATACAAAGTGCCATCGATCGGTTTTGCTACTTTCTTTGTCCGATTACCACTTTTTTTTTTTGGGGGGGGGGATGGGATGGGGGATGGAAGGTGTTAGAAATCCTATTAAACTGGGGGGATGGGATGGGGGATGGAAGGTGTTGGGGATCCTATTAAACTGGGGGGATGGGATGGGGGATGGAAGGTGATGGGGATCCTATTAAATTCTTTAAGTGGCAGATTTATCATTATTGCTTCATGTGCTTTTCCATGATCTGAAATTGCGAGAATTAAATATAATATGTGTGTGTGTGTGTGTTTGTGTGTGTGTGTGCGCGCGTGCGAGACAGACAGACAGAGAAAACAGAGACAGAGAAACAGATTGACAGACTGACATATAGACAGAGCGAGAGAGGGGAGAAAGAGAGACTGAGAACGGGAGAGAGAGGGAGAGAGAGAGAGAGAGAGAGAGAGAGAGTGACAGACAGACAGACAAATAGACATAGCGAGAGAAGGGAGAGAAGAAGAGACAGGGAGAGAAAAGGAGAGACAAACAGACAGACCGACAGACAAACGGACAGACAGACACACTGATAGACAGAGCGAGAGGGGTGAAAAGAGAAAGAGAGCGAGAGAGAGAGAGAGAGAGAGAGAGAGACAGATACAGAGAGAGCGACAGACAGACAGAAACAGAGACAGAGACAGAGAAACAGATTGACAGACAGACATTAGACAGAGCGAGAGAGGGGAGAAAGAGAGACAGAGAGAGAGACAGAGAGAGAGACAGACAGACAGGTAGACAGACTTGTAGACAGAGAATTAGACAGAGGGAGAGAGGGGGGAGAAAGGGAGACAGGGAGAGGAAAAAAGACAGACAGACCGACAGAGAGGGAGAGAGAGATGACAGAGGGACATTCGAGAACGAGTAGATAAAAATTTGCTTGCTGAAAATTAAACCGATTATTCCTGTAGTTACGGTGATATTATTTTTTCAGATCTATAGAGACGAAGTAATGTTCTGCGTCTATTTGTTTATTAGAATGTATGTTAACTTAAGCCAAAAACAAGTCTTACAGTTTATGGCCGAGGGAGGCAGGGGGTTGCCTGAAATATGCAGTAGAAATCTCAGGCCTCCTTCTTTGTTAAAGGGCTAGTAACGCAGTGAACTAACTACAGACGGTACTACATTTTCTCATGACATGACAGCATTCCTGAACATCGCCGTGGCAGCGATCACCGCGCGTAAGTGTTTTCGCGCCGGGCGATACGCGAAACAATGCACTGTTGTTATGGAGCGCCCCCACGAGTGTCACCTCTCTATTATGTAAACCCTCTCTGGTCTAACCCTCATCATTATTTCCTGAAAGTCTAAGATACTGAGTTCAGTTGCTGCTGAGTTGTTACTCTAAGATTAATGGTCATGTGGATCTGCCTCACCACTGTCTTTCATTTTGCATCATTATTATTGAAGAGGCTAGCGTACGGCTATCCACTTCGTTTATATTCTCAAACTGGTACTTATACTGTGATAAAAGTCATCCATTGGCAAGGGGCAGAAGCTGTTTAAATCAGCTCCATGGTAAAAGGTACAGGTGTTAGAGTTGCAAAATAATTAGCCTCTGCAGAGAACTTGTACTTTACAATATTAAGTTTACTCAAAGTGTTGTCAAAATTGTTGATTGTTGAGGGGACAGGTGTTTGTCTAAGACAGGTGGATGCCTGTGATGGTCTCTACATAAGACGAGAGACAACGGGGGAACAGGAAGTGGTTGTTGTAATGTTCAAGTGATTGTCATTCGAACCGGTGGATGATGATAGGATAGGTTCAACTACTTTTATTCTTCTGGGCAGGGCATATATATATATATGGAACCACCTCTTCATATAAACCTATTTTTGGATACTAGTCCTGGAGTTAAACTTTTTCTGACTTCGAGCGTTGCATTTTGCGGTCTTCGCACTACACAAAAATATGCCTGCCTAGTCCTTTCTAAAACTTCTCCTCCCGTCTCACAAAATGAGCTCTTGTGAAAGGAACCCTAAAGGTCCTAAGTGCAATGCTGAGCCAATTCAATCAGCAACATTTTTTACTCTCTCCTATTAGCTTCCTGATCATCCATCCCTTTTCTCAGACTCAAACCCTCCTATTTTCCGCTGCCGTCATGCCTCTATACCTTTAATTTATGGGGAGTCCTTCCGGTAAAAGCGACCACTATGAGACAGAGTAGAATAGAAGGCAAGGGTTAGGGTTAGGTCTCTTACAATTGTGTTTGTTGGTGGTGGTTACTTGTTACTGAAGTCCTTCCAATTTATTTCTTAGGGGGTTAAAATTGTACAACATTTGGAGATACTTCTTAATTTTTTACTTCCTGTTTGGAGTTCTCTGCTTTTCCTCTGTTTCAATTTGGTCTGACTTGAGATGCCCTAGCCTAATGAGGCTTTTCCAACAAACCCTGCTGGTAAACAAAGTGTTTATTACGAGTCGACTCCCAATAATCACTTGACGCTATTAGAAATCAGAGATTACATCTGCCCTAGTCATGACAAAGTTACGGTGGTTTACATTGTGCATATTTAGGGTTAGGGGATGGGTCTCTTTTCTATTGTGTTTGGTGAGGGTTAGGATTAGGGGGTGGGTTAGGGTTATGTCTCTTCTTTATTGTGTTTGTTGAGGTGGTCACTTGTTACGGAAGTCCTTCCTATTATTTTGAGACCGTGCATTTGGGGGGGGCGATTTCTGTAATTTTTGTGCAGTTTAGTTTGAAGTGTGATTGAGGTAAATTTTCTTTGGGTTCAGGGGGCCTCGTGCCCCCCCCCCCCCCCCCCCACCCGATCAGTCATATTTTTATTTTTTGGGGGAAGGGGGGACTTGCCTGAAAAAAAAAGTTTTGGGATTACGTCCTTTTTTTCTTTTTTTCTTCTGTTCAAAACACGTGCGAAATGAAATCGTTATTTTTTTTTTTTCTCTTCATCCCTTACCGCGACACGAGTGCAAGAAAAAAACAAAACAAAAAAAGGTAGGCCGGTATGGAGAAAACCGCGCTTGCCCCTGGTGGCAACTCAAACTCCGGAAGTCCTCTCGCTCTTTATTTTTTTTTCAAGCCAATTGAATCACTGCTTTCATAATTTTGCGATGGAACATTGACAAAACTCTTTGAGGTAAAAAATAATTTATTTTTTGCGACTCCCAATAACATCAATTGATTTAATGGGCAGTCGACTCCCAATAACCCCTTCCGCTGGTAAATGTTAATTTGATCTTTGAGATGCACAGAATGGTGACTTAAATATTGGAGAAAAGTAGAATGTTGTGCTTTATTATTTACATATGTTAAAAAATTGTGCATGTTTTGCAAAGCGAGTTGATCTGATCAAAAACAGTTCGTTTTCTTTTAGGAGGAGTATCTGATTCGATGTTACATATTTTCTCACTGTGTAGTTTGTTGTTGTGTTTTACCCACACATGGAAATTACCAATTTCTTGCTAAATTAAAGTTTAAAAAATCCGAGGGTTGAGTTATAATGTGAGTATACTTGTGAAAATACAAAAGTTATTGAACAAACAAGCAATATATCTTTTTATAAAGAAGCACAATTTAAAGTTTAAAAAATTGTATGATGATTTTATAATCGTCTTACGGTCTATGTCTTGCTGCCTCCCCCACCTCAGGGCTCAGTCAAGTCGCGGACGTACCGGCCACCTGGATCATCTTGAGACGGAAGTTAGTGAAGTCACGTCTCTCTTGAAGGATAATGTGGAGAAAGTCTTGGAGAGGGGCGAGCGAATTGACAGCCTTCAGTCACGATCCGGTAAGCATGAGTAATATATAATGTTAAAATGTTACGTTACATTTTTGCAAAGTTTGTATATATGTATATTTGACTGCCGTGTAGTCTTAAAACCTTTTTCATGATACACTAAATATGACAATAGTCTACCTTATCAATCTATGATGATCTCAGGATATTTTGCCCTTACTCTACAAGTATGCTTTATTTGTTGCCATCTTCTGTATAAGAACAGAGCTTTCCACTGATAACTAGCACAGTGCGTCAAGTATTGAATAGAAATATTTTGTGTCATAAGAAGTGTGTATGTCATTTTCAATCTAAAGGTTTTTATTTTTTACGGTTTAAAAATGTGTTTGTTTTTTATACTTTTTCAGAGGATTTGGAATGCAGCTCTTCTCATTTCAAGAGGTCAGCTGTTAAGATCAGGAAGAATATGTGCTGGAAGAATTGCAAAATGTCTTGCATTCTCGGTGTCGTCATCTTTCTTATCATTGCCGTCATTGTCATCATAGTTCTAGGTAATTTGATGTTATCATAGTTCTAGGTAATGTGATGTCATCATAGTTCTAGGTAATTTGATGTTATTATCATACATGTTGGTGAGTCTGTGCGCCTGCCTCCTGGATTATCTAAATTGTGTGGGTGGAGGGTGAAACATTCCGACTATCAATATACTGGTATTTGTGAGTCTTCAGATATGTTACTGAGAATGCTTTCTATTTTAAATGTGCATTGTATTGTGGGATAGAAGGGTAGAATTTCTTTGGTTCTGTTTTGTTTTTATTTTGTTGTATAATTGTTGAGTTGTTGTTTCACTATTATATTTATTTTCGGGAAGGGCTAAGCATTTAGTGAAGAGTAAAAATGTGTATCTTAAAAGTCTTTAGGACTATCCATCAGTGTGCTTTTCCTGAACCCTAGTCTGCTCCACTTTCTGACTATATTTATATATATATACACACGCATTCTTGTAGGACGAAATTGCATTTCCATGACACTAGTGTGGGGTCTCTGTTTTTTTATATTGAATTTGAATAGCAGGTTATGAGTACCGTATGTATGGGTTGACTTCCCCTGCAATAGTCTGTCTGTGCTTTGCTTGAGTGATACACTTGGTTTTGTGGCTTTAATAGTTTTTCCATATTTTAAAAAAAGGGTTGACTATTCTTGTGAAAATACCAGTTATTGTTACAGACAGCAATTTTGATCTAATCAGTTTGTCAGTGTTTGAGCATTTAACGAGTTGCCTTCACTGTTTGCTTCACAGGAAGCAGGTGATATTTCAGAGTGTTCTGGAGTCTGCTGGAGTAAATGAATAGATTGTAAAACAGATAGGGCTTGCTGTTTAGAGGGAGAGTTGCTCTCTATATATGGATATTGTTATACAATCATACTATATATTGTTATTTAGTTGAATAAGTGTAAGTGTGCACTGCTTTTTAGAGCATATCCAAGCTGTCCTCCTCAAAATTATCTTTTTTTTTGTTTGTTAATCAGGGCATCCTTTTTCATGAAAGAGTATACGGGTACCTTTTTTCTTATTCTCATTTGTTTGTTTATCAGGGCATTATCCTTTTACATTAAAGAGTTTACCGGTACCTTTTTTCTTGTTCTGATTTGTTTCAGTGGAGACTAAGCCTTGGGAATCTTCCGGGGGTGAGCACCCAAAGACTACGACAGCACCGCCTCACTCTACCACTACACCACGTGCGTCTACTGGCACTACCATCCACAACATCATCACATCTGCGCTGACGGGTGGCTCAACGCGCTCTGTTATATAACGTGTCCGTGCCGCGTCAGAGGAACAGGGTAGGGTATTGTGTGACACTTTAATGGGAGATATCGCGTCGGCATTGAGCTTTGAATGAAAAGTAACATGAGAACACATCAAATCTACGCCAAAACAGATTTTGTACAGAATGGAGTAACTTACTCAATGAAGCGTGAATCATGAATGCAGTTGGAATTGTCTGAGACAGCCGCCCGTGGACCAGGAGAATAGTGGCTGTCTTACACAAGTGTCGTTATGATGTGAATATGATGTAACGTATACGTATGAAAGTGGGAGTGGCTGTTTGTACAGGTGATTGTCTTATACATGTGACCGTTAGAGCAGGTTCAACTGTATTATGCCCGCTTGTTGCGCTTTGGGGACCATAAATGTGGTCCTACCAATATGTCTTTGATATAATAATTACGATGTTAGTTTCATATGTGAGCCTTCACCGTGGAATTGTTTTGTTATGGACAGAAATCTTTTCCATCCATTAAAGTACACATTTTAGGGTGAAGTTTACTGAAAAATGTTGTTTCAAGCCAAAAGAACACTTTTGCAAATGATCGAAATCCCATGTTTCAACCAATTTTTCGCAGAAATTCAAAAGCTCATAGCTTTTATAGTTACTGAACTGCAGCAAAAAGTATTAACAGAATAAATTTTGTCAGAAGCTTCAAATCCTTATTTCAAGAGGAACAAAATTTGTTTTGGATTACCTACTGATTGTACCGCAATGCAACATATGGTAATAATTCTGGTATATCAGTGCTGTTGTGGTCTTCACTGTATGCTTCCCAGGAAGCTGAGAATGTTTGGGAAGGTTTCAAGTCTTCTGTGGTAATGATAGTCAATAGTTGTATACAATAGAGCTTGTGGTAATGATAGTGAATAGTTGTGTACAACAGAGCTTGTGGTAAGGCATGGGTTGGCGCTATTTGAATGCCATTATTTGATTATGATTATTATTATGAAATATCACAGCGTGTTCAGTTTCCTGGACTCTGAGTTCACTTTGCTAAACATTATGTGCATGACACACAAGAACTTTGTTTTGTTTATTATTCTAATGCACTTTTAAAAGTGTCCTTACCGAGAACTGTGTTGTAGTTTTTTCTTATTAAATATATACATTCTAGCATGCACATGACAAACACTCCCATAGCAGTCACATTTTCTGGTCCCAAATTTTATCTTATGTGATGTATATTCCTTGTGTTAAAAACACATTCACAGCAAAATTTGTAAAGGTATAGTATTTTTTGTTTTTGTATAGTGTTTTACGGCGCTCGCAACTGCATAAGGTTATATGAGCGCGCGAGACACACCTAATATTTTCAGTTGGTAGGAAATTTTGAATTTTGCCCGGGTGGCGGCCGAAGCCTATTCTTATCGATTTTAGACCACCATGGGATCTTTAACGTGCGCAACTTGCACAGGGGCCCTCCGAGATTTTTCGCCCTTGTCCGAGAAGGCTAGGTGTAGATCTTTCCTACCAGAAGATCAGGGGTGTGGCAGAAAGACAGCAGTAAGGAGGAGCCAAGGAGTAGCAGTAGAAAGGCTGCAGAAAGAGTCAGGTGCCCAGAGGAGGGGGCAAAGGAGGTGAGGGGTGGGGGCAGAAAGTGGAAATGAAAGCAGACTACAGAACATTGCTAGAGAGCAGGAAAGGAGGTGAAAGGAGACAATTTTAGAGAAGAATATTTTTCGGTCGCTACCCGGATTCAAACCCGGGACCTTTGAATAAGAGGCCAACACCTTAACCTCTAGGCCACGAGAGCCCCCAAAGGTGTATATATATATAAAACAACAAAAAATTCAGCATCCTACTGATTTCACTATGGGCATGCTCGACTGTATTTCATTGTAAGGTAATGATGCTCTTATAAACCAAAACAGTTATTGGTATGGGCATCAGAGGTCTATTTGTAGTTAAACTTGTCTTGATCCTCAGATTGATCAGTTGTTGTTGGGTTTTTTTTGGTGGGGGGTGTTGGTGCGTGTTTTACAGCACTCGCAACTGCATAAGGTCATATGAGTGCGCAGGACACAAACACTTTTAGTTGGTAGGAAATTTTGAATTTTGCACGGATGGTGGCTGAAGTCTATTCTTATCGATTTTAGGCCACCAAGAGATCAGTTCAGATGTTAAGTTTGACAGAAGACACACAGTAATGAGGGGCAGACAATGCCACTAGTTTGCCACCGATGTACTGGAGTGTTTGAGGCGCTCGGACTGAGGTTGAGCCACGCCTTCTTTTGTTTGGATCACGGAGAATTTCTTTCTGCCTTGCATTGTTTGATGAGGTCATGATGTAGACACATATAAAGTTACGCCAATTACTGGTAGTTGTTTGATGTTGTAACAAATAATATGTGGAAATTTCCCCAAAGAGTACACTAGATCTACATGTATCTAATTAGCTTGAACTACGAGCAGCCACATGTCTCTCTCTGGACTCTAAGTACAACACTCCTGTTTTTAAACTCGTGTAAAATGTTATACTGTCTGACATTGTTGCATGTGAAGACTATTGTCTTGATACTTTCCTGAAATGTCTGTCTTTGAGTTTGTCTCTTCATTTGTGCTTTGCTCAAGTTGTGGCCTGAATGCCTCACAAGTCTATGTGAAAATCTCAACATGGAAGGTGGAAGTCTGCAAGTTGTGACGTGAAACTCATTGCTTCAGTTGTTTGGTTGTTTTTTTTAGCTAAACAAGAACAAAAATTAAGTTTGGAGATAGAGAGTCTTTGAGACGGACATTTTGCTGTTAGTCTTTCCCTCCAATTGTCACGTTATATGATCGTGCCAACGGGGGTAGAGTCACCAACTCTGGGAAAATACTTCTCTGAAGACCAAAGAAATGCCTGATTCTTAATTAATCATTACTTCTTTTATTTTATGGAAGTTGTGAGCTGTTCTTGTGTTTAGTTTTCTCCGTCTGTAGATATAGGATTTTGATTAACAGCACATGGTAAAGGGCTTTATGTTTCACAACTTGAAATGACAAACATCTTTACAATATTAGATTGCCATTTTCCAATATATCATCATTGTTTTTCTCTTAATGATAGCCATGGTAGATCACTTTAATGCTGTACATTATGCTGGTTTTGTTTTCAGAAAAGGCAGAATCCTCAAAGGAACATGTTTGTTTGATTGTCCACGAAATGTGTAGAAAATTTTTCATTTAATAAAAAAAATGCTTTGTTGAATTGAACAGGATTTTCAGGGAAGTTAAAACAAGGACAAATGTACTGAACAGATCAACAGAAAAGTCTTTGTACTTTTTGTCTGTATGGATTAGTAATCTTTCAAAATGTTTCTGTTGGCATAATAAAGATATAAAGAAAGAAGTCATGTATAGTTTTGCTTCCAATCATTGCACAAATTCATGGTTTTTTTATACAACGGAGAATTAAGCACAAACTGGTAGCCATATCATTTGTTTTACATTGGAACTGTTCACAAATGACACCACCTTAGGAGGGGGGAGGGCTCCTTACAAAGTGACACATAGGCCACATTTTCTTGGCCTCAAATTAACACTGTTAAATTGGACCATATTATTTGGGGGAGGGGGGGGGGGGCTAAAAGCAAAAAAAAAAGACAAAAAGAAGGTGTAAATGTAAAATGCCTCCTGTTCAGGTTCTATCTAAATATACACATGTTACATTTTGGTTGACATCAACTGGGGGGGGGGGGGGGGGGGAGTTCCCCTGAGGAAGATGACGGGGGAAAGGGGGGGGGGAGCTGAGTGTTCATTTTTAGCAAAATTTTAGCAGACCTCATTTTGTGAACAGTCCCTAAAACGAGAGAGCACAATTGTTTGTTTATTACAGATACGTAACACAGAATGTATGCTAATTATGTCTTTTCTGTACCGGTACTGTATTATTTATTCGATGAAATGCCAAATATTTTAAAGATAATTTTTAGTTAAGTGAAGATTAACAGGAATATATGATCATACTTGTGTGCCGATTTGTCCTGAAACAGCATTTTCTTTCCCTGTGTTATTTCATATATTGTTGCCATTGAGCATTGAACACTTTACTGTGTTTCTTCATTGCTGTATTTTAATTTTACCATTCATTTCGCTTTACAAATTTACACTCAGGTGCAATATTTTGTTAAGATAGCGGAGTGGCGGAGAAAGAATTATATTATTGTAATTATAATCCCTTCTATCTGAACTCATACTTTGCGTGGACTGTAAGGTTGTTTGGTGTAAATGGTTTGTGGTTGGGTTTTTTTTAGCATATTCTATTCTAATTTGTTTCTTTATGGAGGTTTTGTAGAATGATCAATGGGAAATGAAATTTGTTTGCTTTTTTCCATCTTAATTATTTATCTTTAAATGTTCTTATTTGTAAACCTAGAATCAATCTTTCCTACTTGATTTTTGTTTATACTACTATAAATAATAGTTTGTTTTATCTTCTGACTTCAACAATTCAACAGCCAAATGCAAAAATTATATCTTTATATTTACAAATGTATACCAATGCAATAATGTGTACATTTGTCATTTGAGATTTGTTCATTTTTTATGTTCTTTTTCATCACGAATGCTCACAAAATGTCCTTGTTGTTATGTTATGTGGGCATAGTGTGGCATGCTCTGTCTACTTTATTATCCGATGTTGAATGAATGAAATATGGCCATTATCATGATCACTGGCCTTGAAATACCATTCCAGGTTGCTTTTTTGTTTTTGGTGTGTTTTTGTGTCTTTAAACTTTTTTTTCCCCTATTGACAATAGGGCCGAACCTCTGGTGTGGTTTGCTTCTTCTCTCCTATTCCTATCAACACATCCGTCGTCTTTATCTCCCCTCCTTCTTTTCGTGTTTGTTACTCTTTTGTAACACCTCTTATCTTCGGCACTTATAGACTTTATTGTGTTGCATGTGCCGTAAAACTCTTACTGAAACATCAGTCGTCGCATAGATCACGAGTGATGGACGTGTTTGTAAGTACTTGTAGATTTATAGTTCGACTTTGCCTTCGGTTATAGTGGGAGTGCTTAAATTGGGCTACACACACACACACACACATATATATA